GTGATATGTGTGTACAAGTCAGGGGAGATCATATTCCATATTAAATTCGTAAGACTTAATTCTTTTTCTGAATCATTCCTTTTTTTCTTAACTCTCTTTGTCACACTTTATTACCATTTTTATTGTTTCATGCTACAATTTTATATCATATGATCATCAATCTTCAATTTTTTCTGTTGCATTTATGTGTCATCATGTTATGTATGATTCCACGAAAATTCATTAAATTATAAGTCATAGTCTCTGAGAAATCCGTGAATTTACGCATGTAAACATAATTTTGGACATGAGTGTAGCTTTAATATCCTATTATGATTTAATATCCTATTTCTTCCTTGAGTAACTTACAGGTGTAGATTAAAAAGTTTTGAGAATTAGTTGTGCTAGCTTTAATATAGCACAACTAATTCTCAAAACTTTTTCTGCAAAGAAAATGCAATTCCTCTAGGTAATTGCTTAGTACTTGGTGCTGACAATGCACCGGTAATGGTAGGTGTTGAAGACTGGTTTTGGAGGCATCTTAAAAAAAGAACATTCAGATTTGCAAATTATGAGGTAAGCCCTGTCACCTGTTAAATTTAGCAGCTTGAAAAGGGGAACCTTTACCAATAAGTATGGATGCGCATATTGTTGATATTTATTATTATTATCTTGAAAGTAGTTCTAAAAGGAAGGTCAAATTGAAAGAATTGTAACAGCTGCATAATACTGAAATAAGACATGTACACACTGGTTACCTTTAGAGAAATGTGTATCTAGAATCTTCAAGCAATGGAACCCAATTACAATTTTAAAGGAAGAAGTAAATGCTTCTAGAGCAAAGGCTAAAGGCTGTGTTGAAAGTTATAAAATACCTAAAGTAAATTAGATGTAGTTACTACTTCCACTGATAAAAATTGGTGTCAGAAAAATAATTTCTTCACCTGTGAGCAAATTTAACTGGCAATTCTAAAAATAATATACAAAATATGAATGTAAAGTTGATATAGAGTCTCTCAGAATAGCAAAGTTCCCCAACAAGGGAAATATTTTCTGATTACTGTAAGTATATCTTGTAAAGAACGGATATGTTTTTGTCTTTGGACCTTAACAAAGCTTCCCCCCCCTTTTTTTTTCTTTTTTTTGGTAGGCTCCTTTTCCCATCTTTCGATGTTCTTAGGGCAATTTTACAGTGCAGAATTCCGTTAATTGTTGTTTTACAATCAATGATCCGTGATTGATTTAAAGACATTTTATCGAAGTTTGTGAAGCCAGCCTTTGTTTTGTAATACAGTTATGTTTACGAGATTAACAGTTTTGGGCAAAATATGTATTTACTTGTTATTAGTTGTAAAATTGATAATCAGTAGAGTATGATAGCTTGCTTCAACACTGAGTGAAAAAATTTGGCACTAGTTAGTTTCCAGATCTTGCTAAGAGTCATTCACCGTTATTAAGGGGCTGCAGAGATTTCAAATATTGGCAGATTTTTGGTCTTGTAATGTATCTGTGATATATTTTCTATACTCTTTCTGTATCAGATGAAGAATTTATGAACATAGTCTTAATAATTAAAATAACTAGTAATACAAAAAAAAAAAAAAATGCATGTATACAAGGTTCGAAAAAATATTACTACATGTTTTATTTCCTTAAATATTGATCCTAGAAAGGTGCTTCAGTTAAGTTGCTCAAAATAAGAGAGATAATTTTATGGGAAATGTTCACACATGGAGGGAAAAGAAGAGGGTTCTGTAAATACAAAACTTCATATTCTTCATATGGTTTGAAAAGAAAAAAGAATCAATTTCTAAAATGCTCATTATGCTTCTATATAAATTCACTTAAAATTCTCTTAATTGCAAAATTTGTGAAGATGTTAGTAATCTAATATCATTAGATTTATAATAACATAATCCACTAATTCAGAAGTCAAACAACAAAAATCAGCGTTATATTTACAAAATTTTCACAGGACTAGTTTCGATGGTTTTACCGAGCCACCATCCTCAGCTGCAAAACCGCAAATGAACAAGATAGGAAATAATGATTAGATTAGATAAGAAAGCCTGGACAAGAATAAGCAAGTGGCGCTATCTGTTGGTGAAACCAGAACTAAAACATAATTTCTTTAAAGGCCGAAGGCAAATTTGGATTGGAATTAGGATCGTTAACTAGAACAGAAAGATTTTTATGAATATGAAATGCCTCTAGAAAATCCAGTTCTCCAATGGAAGATGTTTTTTGAATAATTTTGGCAGCAGAAAAATTGAACGTGTGATTTTCGGACCAACAATGTTGAGCAACAGAAGACTTCTGTGTTTCCTTTTTTCTAACATATGCCTCATGTTCCTTGATGCGAAATTTTAAGGCTGTCTTAGTTTGGTCAATGTAAACTAAACCACACTGGCAAGGAATTCTATAAATACCCCAGGTATTCATATCTGGAATGGGGTCTTTGAGTATGGAACTCTGAATTTTATTGATGGGAGAATAAACAACCCGAAAGTTTAATTTCTGAAAATATGTTCAGCTTTATAGCTAATTGATGGAAAGAAGGGAATGACAATAGAATTTTTATAATCTCCTAAAAGAAGAGTGTGTCTTTTAGTGTGTTGAGATGAGAATTTTTTAACCGCTTGATTAATAATGTTGGGTGAAAAGCCCCTGTCAATAGCTATTGCTTTTAAATAATTTAGTTCTTCATCAAGGGCTAGTTTGGAGGAGCAAACTTGAAGAGCACGGAAAAGATAGGGATAAAATGAAGCTAACTTTTGTTTAGTCGGATGACATGATTTAAAGTGTGGTGGAAGGCAAACCGATGAAGGTTTACGGTAAACTGTAGTACTGAAGTTGGATGTGTTATGCGTGACCAGAATGTCGAGAAACAGAAGAGAATTGAAAGTCTCAAGTTCAAAAGTGAACTGAATAGCAGGATCAATAGAATTCATTCATTGTTGAAAGAACTTTATTTAAATCATCTTTATTACCTTCAAACAGGGTAAAAGTATCATCTACGTAGCGGAACCATGCCGGGAAGTTTAAAGTTTCAAACAATTTTGATTCATAATAATGCATGTAGATATCAGCCAGGATGGGACTGAGAGGGGGGCTTCCCATGGCTAATCCTTCAGTTTGCTTGTAATATTCATTTTGGAAAACAAAATGTTTGTTTCAAACAGAGTTGAGTGAGAGAAATTAGCTCATCAATTTTGATGCAAGTGAAATGAAATTCGCGAAGTCTGGTTTTCTAGACATCTTAATGCACCTTCCACTGGGACATTGGTGAATAATGATTTTTACATCAAAAGAAACCATGAGTAAATTACTAGGAGAAATGTTTTAACCTTTTTTACAAAATCTATTGAATTTTTTATGGTGTAAATGTTATTGTCTAATAGAGTGGAAATCTAGAAAACTAAATATTTAGCTAATGGATACGAAGGCAGTACCTAATTTGATACAATAGGACGGAAAAGGAATACCACTTTTATGAATTTTGGGAAGAGCATTATAATTTGGCACAATTCGCAACAGATGGGATAAGCGAATGTTTTAAGTTGCTTGAAATGATTTGAGAAGATTTGATCGCAGTTTTTATTTTTGACAAGTCCGAAGGTGAAGGATCGGATTATATGGTCCTTCGTTTAAGAGTTTAGTGACACCATCGATGTAAGTGTTCTTATCCATGACGACTATCTGGCCCCTTTTTGTCGGCCTTTGAAATGATAATATCCGGATTAGAATGAATTTTGCGCATTTTAGCTCTTTCTCTCGCAGTTAGATTTGGTTTCAAAGGTTTATTATTGAATTTCACATTATGAGCGATAAGATGCCTAATCATTTCTTTCTCATACTCAAGGACCCCATTCCGGATATGAATTCCTGGGATATTTATAGGATTCCTTGCCAGTGTGGTTTAATTTACATTGGCCAAACTAAGAGAGCCTTAAAATTTCGCATCAAGGAACATGAGGCATATGTTAGAAAAAAGGAAACACAGAAGTCTTCTGTTGCTCAACATTGTTGGTCCGAAAATCACACGTTCAATTTTTCTGCTGCCCAAATTATTCAAAAAACATCTTCCATTGGAGAACTGGATTTTCTAGAGGCATTTCACATTCATAAAAATCTTTCTGTTCTAGTTAACGATTCTAATTCCAATCCAAATTTGCCTTCGACCTTTAAAGAAATTATGTTTTAGTTCTGGTTTCACCAACAGATGGCGCCACTTGCTTATTCTTGTCCAGGCTTTCTTATCTTATCTAATCATTATTTCCTATCTTGTTCATTTGCGGTTTTGCAGCTGAGGATGGTGGTTCGGTAAAACCATCGAAACTAGTCCTGTGAAAATTTCGTAAATATAATGCTGATTTTTGTTGTTTGACTTCTGAATTAGTATTTATTCAGCGTGTTATTGTGTCTTAATTATAATCCACTACATTAATAGCAAGTTCTGTTTTACACAATAAGTCATCATAACTAGCATCTTTTGTTTTACAGTTTCTTCCTAAATATGATCAAAATTTGTACGAAATCCTTTAAGATTATGCACGGAAAGAAGAAAATGTTGGCAAATTCTTTTTTAAATAGCATGCCAGATTTTGTACATAAAACTAATGAATATTTTTAATCTATTGAAGCATAACGAAGATCATATTAATTTAGCGTTTTGATCTGTGAAGAACCATATAAAATTTTAATTCTATATTTACAGAACTCTTTAAATCTTAATCTTAAATCTGCTTCTTTAAAATCATCTAATTTGAGAAACTTGTAATGAAGTAAAATTTCAGAATCATCGTGTAAGTAATGAAAAGCATGGCAATCTAAAGCATGCTATTTCTTTAAAATGCTTTTTTTTATGAACAAGACAGGGTTTGGTATATTCTGTAAGATGAAGTAAGCACAAAAGATGATGTGTGTATGTAAATTGTTTAGAAAAATTAGGTACATCTTTAAAATTAAGTATTTCTTTTTTATTGAATAACAAAAGATTTACATTTTAAATATGAGGAATTATCAAAACAGAAGAGAAACATATCAGAGTAAAATGTAAAATTAGGCAAAGAAACAATCTTGTGTTTGGTATAGATTTTAGTCAAGACTTTATTGAGTTCGAGGACAAACAAGTACAGGTTCGCAGATTTCTTTGTTCCGGTTAATGAGGGACTTGTACTTATTTGGCCTTGAAATCGATAGAGAAATCTATGCCAAACACAAGGCCTAATTTTATGAAGAATTATATTAACTGATAGGGTGCCGTTTTTTGAATTTAATCATCTAACTGGCATAGCAGAGCTGTTCCTCTCTTTATCCAGTGCTGAGGTCGCCTGTCAGTTGGCAGAAGGAAATGTAATACATAGTTTGTTGAATGTCCAGTTGTTGATAAAGTACCTCGTCTTTCACTGGTTTTGTATAATGGTGATCTAGTTAAGGAGGAGAATGATTAGAAATAGCTAAATCAGGAAAAGTAGAATATTACAGAATGGATATGTGAAATCTCTTTAAAAAAACCTTACTAACTCTATTTTTAATATTTTTTGTGCATTTAATGGTTATTGTACCTTATCATCTTTGAAAATCTTGCCTCTTCAATTGATGCATCACTGCCAATGCTGCTTCTGAGGAGTGTATTTGATTATGCTGAACCTTCTCCTTTTAAAGTTATATCAATTTTGAAAAAAGTCTGTGGGACTCGGTCAGGAGGTCAGAGCCGAGGAAGTACAGTTGTCTCCATTTTGGCCCAAAATCATGTATTAAAAGAGATGCGTGTATGGGTATATTGTCATGATCCTTCTGGCAAAATTCATGGTGGGTTCCTTGATGTCAAAAATGGCAAAACAACTTGTCACATTTTTTTCAGCGTTGGGGAAACTTTTCCTAACACTGTGAAGATAGGACATTTTTTAATATCAAAGCCATAAATCCGTATATCATCGCCAGTAATCATTCTTTCATGAAGTTTTCATTCTCATTTCCTTGCAATTTGTCTTTCTATTTGAAGGGCTTGCAGAAAGAAGGACCAGCTACATTTTGGTAAATCTGTGTGAATTGGTCTTTTTTAGTTTAAAAAAAAAATCATTCTTTGCATTGGAATAGTCATAAAAAATAATTTTTACTAGCACTTTTAATGAGGACAAACGTTTAGAATGCAAGTTAAAAACTGAATTTTTAAAATTTTTTAAAAATTTTCCAAAAATTTTAAAATGTGGAGCTGAGTCTTTCTTACTCATACTGCAAGCCCATTAATTTTGAATTAGCAGACATGGGACAATTTTTCAGTAACTTGATGCATTTCCAACTTCTCAGATAAAATGTGATGGCATGATCCAAATGTGGTGAGTGATCCAAAGTGTGTGTGATCCAAAAGTTGTGGATTTATTTCGATGTTTGGAAATTTTGATTTTCAATTGTTTTAATTTCAATCATAAATTCATAGAACTTTACTATACATAATGGCAAAAATGCTATCAAAAAACAAAACAAAACAAAAATTACATAAAGCAAGTGGGAAGAGTAATATTTTGTGTGAAAGTAACAATTTTTAAGATCTTGTTTGCACTGCCATGAAAGTAAGATATAAAAAAATATGTAGCACTGATCATCAGGGATATTACGAAATACAAATTGTTTAATGACCTTTATTCTTCACTGGTCTTTAATAAGAATAGAAAAACTTTCTTCAAGCAGTAACAACAAAATATAATGTCACTGATGGTTTCACATGATAAGCAGTGAAAGAGCATCATATGAAATTTGTTACAACTTGAAAATATATGAAACTGTGTCGCCCAGACAGTGGTTAGGGGAGCCTGACTGCGATACCAAAGGGCCCGGTTTCGAATCCCCGGAGAATTGAACTACTACCTTATGTAGCTGTAGATTTGTCAGATTCCACCCACCCTCTCCATTTTCCAAACAGGAAAGCATTTTTTGATGATAACAGCACATTGTGGTTAGGTTGAGTGGGGTAAAGCTATTCGAATATTACAAAGCACACCAGAGCTATCTGGATAAGGGAAGGGATGTCTTCGTGGAGAACTTTCAAAGGGGAATGGGCTCATATTCATGTTACACATGGGGAATACCTCAAAAATCTACCATGTAGCCAGCCCACTCACCTGGGTTCCAACACACATCGAATAACCAATTTTCAGAGTCAACCACTTTGTCATTGGTGGGGCAATATCGCACCATAATTCAGAAATTTCTGTATATTGTTGCAGTTGGAACAAAACTGTTTATTGTTTATAAAATGCTATAATAAGTGCATTAAAGTAAAGAACGACTTCGTTGAAAAAGTTATACCCTTTTCCGTATACATTTTTATCTAGGTTAAAACTATATAAGACTACCTGGATTACTTTTTTAACATCAAGCTGATTATTTAATTCACATTTGTTTTCATTCATTAAAAATTTAAAAGCTTTTAACTTTTTTCTAACTTTAATTTGCAAACTTAAAAACATTATAGATTTCATTTGAATATCTGTTATTTCCTTTTCTAGCACGTAAATTTCTAGAAAATATTTGCATTTTTGAATTAAATAGTAATACTCTTCTATTTATATCCAAACATCAAAAATATAATTAAAGATGTGCAAAGTGTATCTTTGAATCTTCGTAAACCTTCATTCATTTGCGATGAAGAGTCCACAAGAAAGCTTCATTGTCCAAATATGAATAACAAAGAAAAGCTAGTTTTGCAGAGAGAGATATTATGCTTAATGATCTGAATGTTTCAATATAACATGCTATTTCAAAACGAACTGGAAGAGGGAAGAAATTCAGCGATATTTTTCTTTAATATATAGCTGAGAACACTGTACAAAATGTCTTATCTCAATATTAATAGTAATTAAATGAGCTAAAAGATGAATTTTAATAAAATTTCAAGAAACTGAAATAAATCATCACATTTACTGAATGCTAAAGATGCATCACATCTACTGGGAGGGGAGCATGCGTTTAACTAATATTAATATTAACTTGTACTTAGAACACATTAAAAATACGATAAATTCCATACTGCACTTCGAATATTCTAATCCATTGGCTAAAACTGGGTTTCCCCCCCATATGTTAACAACATTCAATAATAAACAAAAAATCACAGAATGTTATTAGATTTGATTTTGGTTAATAGCAGACGTGCTACATGAAAGTGAGACAAAAAAAAAAAAAAAAAAGTATGCCAAAGGGATGCTCTCACAGCTTCATGTACCAAATTTGCTATATGAAACTGAGTCTTTAACTAACTGGTAGAAGTTACATAAGTTCATTATTATCTACACCACAGTTATATTAATAATAAATAAAGTAATTAAGTTTCAATGTATTAAAATCATTATTTTATTGAAATTAGCTGCATTTGTATTTCTTCCTTTTGCTAAAAATGTTTAGGTCATGATATTAATATTCTCCAATATTTAATACTTACTTATACCGACTTCCTTCCATAATATTTATTTTCAAGCAAGGAAGCAACCAAATAATTGGCATTGAATATGAAAGAACTTTAGGATCTTGCTCTGCAAGCATGTTTCTAGAAAATAAATAAAAAGACAATTTTTTTTTTTCTTGCGAATATTATTAACACTTTATTAATAACAAAAATAATTTAAGAAGATTTATTTTCAAAGAGCAAATCAAAAAAGAACTAAAAAAAAGAAATGTTCATCATGGGAATGTGCTTTTAATTTTAGTAGCATATACACTGAATTAGGGATAGCGATGGCTATGCAAATTTTATAGCGCTGCGCGTCATCTGTGCTCACGTGAGGAAGTTATGGTAAATCCACATACAGCTAGTGCTATGGTTGTTGTTAATCAGTTGTTTCAATTACCAGTATGTGTAAAACTTCTGATTTAGACAGCTTCAATTTCGGACAGATAGTAGGCACTCAACGCATAGGCCATTCAATTTCCAAAATCCTCATCGAGCTAGATTTTCAAGGTCGACAGTATCAAGAGTATATCGAGAATACACGGATGGTGGGAAAAAGAACTAGCGATTGGGGAAATTGCAAAGGACAATTAACATAGAACAAGCGTGGTGTGAGACGGCTCAGCCTTATTGTACATAGTCAACGAAGCCAAACATTAGCTCAAATTACCACCCAGCTGAATCAGGGCGACAGTTGTACAGTCAAGTAAAAAGGATCGTGCAACGCTCGCTTCACTATATGGGCTTCGGTAGCCGTAGACCCACGAGAGTACCTTTGCTGAATGCATGCCATCGAGCTGCACTTCTTGGCTGGGCAAAAGAATACAGAGAATAGACTCTAGTGGACTTGAAATGAGTAGCAAGGAGTGATGAATCTCGATTCTGACTAATTAATACGGATGGGAGGCTGAGAATATCGCGTCAGATTCGTGAAGCCATGAACCCTGTAAGGCGGATTGGAACTGTACAAGACCATGGTGGCTTAATCATGGTGTGAGATGTTTTCTCTTGGCAGTGTTTGGGATCTTTGGTACTTGTACTAACCTCCTTCAATATGATTCGGTACGTAGAGTTGCTGGGTGATCATCTCCATCCATTTATGTTGTCCTGTCATTCACATGGAAATGGACTATCCCAGCAAGATAACTGCATCTCTCACAGGTCCCAGTTGGCTATGCCTGGTTGGATGAGCGTTCTGCTAACTTCTTTTGTCATAAATTGGCTACTTAAAAGCCCTGACTTAAATTCTACTGAGCATCTTTAGGACGTTTTGAAGAAAGGTTTGAAACCTCATTACACAACACTAGCGACTCTTCCTAAATTACAGATAGCTCTATCCGATATTTGGAAAAGCCATTCCCGTAGAATGCTTCAAGAAACTTATTGAATCTATGCTTCGTCGTTTGGCAGCCATTATGAAGGCCAGAGAAGGCCCAACTCGTTATTGACTAGCTATCCTTAATTCAGTGGCACCTCAGTGTATTATGATAATATAGTCTGATTCCAAGTGACTACTGCGAACTCATAATAAACTGAAATTATATTAGTTATATTGCAGATTCTAGAATTACATGTCATAATGACCAGCATTATGTTGATTATGCTGTGTTTATTATATTATATAGAATTATGTACAAAATATTACTTTCTTTTATCTACATTACAAAATTATAAAATATTACGGTTTGTAAAATTATATGTTGCTGTATACGTCAACAAATTATGGAAGACTTTTTTAATTTAGCTGCAGGGTCAGAATGTATGAGAATCTGTAAGTTACATAAGTTAGTCACATTCAAAGAGAAGAATTTAAGACAACAGTTCCAGACGATCTTGGTCTTCTGTGGTGGTGGTTGCCTTGTATAAAATGGCAATTATTGTATCTACAACTTTATATAACAATAGAAAGACAGTAAGACAATACGTGCCTGTAGTAACTTTACGTGACTGTGAACTAAGAGTATACTCATAGGCATTGACTATAGTGTATAATATGAACAACATAGACAATAGTGAACCTCGAAAATAATGTCCTCTAAATGTCCTTTCTATGCTTGAGACGACGCGGGAAAGCTTCCATGAAGCATCTCAACATGTCCTGTGGGTAGTGTCGGATTACAGCCATAGCTTCCCACTGCGCAATTCTGTTGGAATCAAATTCCATCTTCTATCGTTCTTTCCAACACTTGCATATAAGTTCTTTAAAAGCATGGTGAGTATTTCTTAAGAAAATTCTTGTTCAGATTAATAGCACATGTCCTTCTTATTTAAAAATTTCCAGCAAGACTCAAGGTGGCTGCTACGATGCTTAACCGGTAATATTATCATTCAAATCCAAAATTTGATTTTTATTCTTGGTATTTTAAGGTGATAAAATGCTTTACGAAATAAAAAGTCTTTTGAATCAATCTGTAATTTTATATAGTTATCTGACATACATTAATTACTCCCTATTTTCACTGTTCCGCTGCAGCACCCACTGAGCGTTTATGACAGAACCTGTTCAAATAAAAACTTTCACTGCTATGAAATGCAATGGCTCTATACTGATCGCCTGACTCCCCACTCTCCACAGATGCAAGTGTGTTATACACATGCGCAAGCCCATTCTGGCAGACCTGCCAAATCAAAATGACGGATACAATTTGCGTCATCCTACAGTACTGACTTTCATTGCTTTGAAACATGCATTATAATGTACGTTTTTTTTTTTTTTTTTTTTTTTTTTTTTTTTTTTTTTTTTTTTAGTGTTAACATCTATCGTAGCGAGTTGAACTTGAGAGCATGTTCCCAATTTCTTTTGGGAGGCTTTATTATGTATATTGCTTTGGTTGGTGAATGGGTGACATTAAACGTAGACTTTAGCATGGTGAGTATTTGAAAATTCTTGTTCAGATTAATAGCACATATCCTTCTTCTTATTTAAAAATTTCCAACAAGACTCAAGGTGGCTGCTACGATGCTTAACCGGTAATATTATCATTCAAATCCAAAATTTGATTTTTATTCTTGGTGTTTTAAAGGTGATAAAATGCTTAACGAAATAAAAAGTCTTTTGAATCAATCTGTAATTTTATATAGTTATCTGACTTACATACATTAATTACTTTGAGGGAGAACAAATCTAACTGATTGTGATTTATTTACTTAGATATTAAACATAACTTGCATTAAGTTTAATATTAAGCAATATGATCCAGATTTTAATCACACAGTGCATAATAAATGACCATTAAACACAGGAACGCTGATTTAAATGCCATTATGGATTAGATGAGAATCAGAAAGTGTTTACAGTTATATAAAAACCAACATGATAACTAATAGCATAAAAACAACCATTGGAAAAAAGTGGCAATTTTGTTTCTAAGCCAGTATATTAACAACAACAACAAACCGCATGGAAATTATACATGCTATTAGTTATCATATTAAGTTTTAAGTTAAGTTATAAGAAATAAAATGGATAAGTTATAAGTTATCAGAAATAAAATGGATATTATAAAGCTATTGATATGAGAAACTAAAATTGTAAAGCTGATTGACCATCCTTTGCAACATTGATGAACAACTTTAAGATAAATATAATAATAAACAATTAAAGATATTCATTGAAAAGCAATTATGAATTCATTACTTTTCTTTATCCCATTTAGCACCATCCAGGAACAAACCATTTATATAAACACCATCATCTGGAGCTTTCTCGATTGCATCCACTTGCAGAACCTATTAGTTTATAATGCATTATTTGTGAATTAATAAGCATGAACATACATAAATAACAATGCTGATTCAAACATCGAGGATTTGAATTAATATATAACTTTTAATAGGAATGCTTTAATTTCTCAAACATTTTTTAAACGAAGATCACTTTTATAATTTAGAATATTCTGCGGGGCAACTTACTCTTGTCTCCGTCATAAAGCAATTTTTTTCGTATATATGAACATACTTATATTATTAAAGTACAACTAATTAAAATTTATTAAATTTTTATATTTATATTAAGTATCTGAGTTAATAGAAGAAAAATTATATTCATTTTTAATAATTCAATGTTATCAAAATTTGGATAATTGGACTTCATTCAATAAAAAATAAATAAATTGTAGAGTCATTAGATTATATCGATGCAGGAACGTGAAAAATGTGCAGTGCCCTTGCCGGGATTAAATATCCGGTTCTCCCGGATACGCATCGAGCATGCTTGGTACACATATTAATGAGATGGATGAGCTTGCTGATTCTTACATTGCAGTGCAGTATTTGTACACTGGTAAAAAGCACCGAAATTTAAGTGCTTTAAAACCCTTCCTTGCTGGTAAGACTAGAGTAGGGAAGTCCGCATGTAGAGTAACAGGTAATCTCTTCATATAAATAAAACAACGAGTCTGTCTGGGTGTGTGTGCCTTTCTTTCGCGCTGCGCGTAAGCTAATAGACCCACGGCTACGAAATGTGGTACGTAGGTGCATCAAGACAAGAGCCAGTGCACCTCGAAACGATTTTTTCTAAATTCGATTAGAATTTTTTTAATTTTAATGTTTTTGACGAAATCGCGTCATTTTGAGATGTAATGGCTTAGGAAAGCGAGATTTTTCACACACTCCATTTTCATCGTCAAAACGCAGGCACTTAGCTATTTTTACGAACTTAAAATAAATTTCATGTTTTCAATAAATCGATTAAATACGAATTTATTTACAAAGTGAGCTTAACACTTTTTCACGGGATTTTTTTCTAAAAACGTTTATGTACAATTTATTTCTTTGATTTTTGGACACGTTAAAACATTCATCCTTGCCACTGCTTTTACAAAAAGAATTTTGGAAAAATGATATATTTTGTATTTTTTAAAAAAATTTTAAATGAAGCTTCCGAGTACCTTAGCACATCTTAAAAATGTGATTTTGGCAACAATTCCTTTCTTTTGTTGTTGAAGATTTTTGAGAAATCGCATCATTTTGAATAGTTTCATCTTTTAGAAATATGGGTCGTCAACAATTATTCTTATGTCACTGTTTTTAAGAGATTGGCATATTTCACTGTCATTTTTATATATATATAATACATTATATTGATGTTTTTCTGCACAGTAAAATTTGTACGGAATTTTTGTTTTTGAATTTCTTTCGTGTTATTTTACTTATTTTACTGTTTGTAGATATTGAAAAGTTTTGCATGATTTTTTCCTTCACGTAAATTTGGTTTAAATTTTTTTATTAGATAATTATATTTGTATTAAGGTATTAAGGGATAACTTATTTCATGTAATTCTAATTTTTTTCTCTCTTGAAAATATAAAAATATCATTATTATACTTTGCTTTTCAGAATTTTTTTTTTTTTTTAATTCGTTTATGGTATTTATTGCTCATTTATGTTTCAAATATTAAATTTGAGTTTTGAGGAAAAAAGTCTTACCTCCTTTAACATTTGAGTTTAAGTTTGCAAGGGAAGTGTTAATTTTTTTTAGGATAATTATTATTGTATTAAAGAATATTGCTTATTTCACTGTAATTTGTTATACGTAAACTTTTTTTATGAGTTTTTCTGCCCAGAGTCCCCGCAGCGCGATTTTTTTTTTCCTTTTTTTTTCCGTTACATTAAAGCCAGAACGTTCAGCGGATGCTAGTCTCTACATATAATGCTGTGTGTGGTGTGTTTTGTCGCGCTGGGTGCATCTAGACAAGGCCAGTGCACCTCGAATGAGGTGATTTTTTCGAAAATCGAATTTTTTTTTTTTTTTTTTTTTTTCTATTTATTGTTTTGTGACGAATCGCTTCATTTTGAGATGAATGGGTATAGGAAGGAGATTTTCTCTACAAACTCCATTTCAATCGTCAGAAACGCAGGCACTTAGCGATTTTACGAACTTAAATAAATTTCATGTCAATAAAAGATTATAATGAAATTATTAACAATGAGCTCACCCTTTCACGGAATTTTTCTGAAAAGTTATTTTAAAATGTACAGTTTATTTTTTCTAATTTTTGGACACGTTTTAAACTTTATCCTTGCGATACTTTTACAAAAAGAATTTGGAAAAATGATAAATTTTGTATTGAAAAAAATTTTAAATGAAGATTCGAGGACCTTGTCACATCTTTAAAATGTGATTTTGGTAACAATTTTTTTTCTTTTGTTATTGAATTTTTTGAAATCCATCATTTTTTTATTTTCAGAATAAGGTTGACAAAATTTTTCATCGTATTTTCTTATGTCACTGTTTTTAAAGATTGGCATATTTCATTGTATTTTTTTATAGTATACAGGGTTGTTATAAAGTCAGGACCCATTTGATGTTTAATAACTCTAGGAGATATAAAAAACTTATGGCATTTTGATGAATAACTTATATATTTTTCCTTTTCAGGTTGGAAATCTTTACTTGTAAATATCGTCTGCGCGTGTGGTTTAATTCAGATAAGTCATTTTCGTCTAATATCTGTACTTTTTTAAATATCGTTGCTTATAATTGCATTCTCTTTGTTTTTGGCAAATTGCAAATGTTATGTTTGATATAACCGCCGCCGGACTTTTGGGGGGATTTAAAGGACAACGTTTACAGGAGGAGAGGTCGAAATGATACCTAAAGCCAAATTACACCGTATAGCCCTGTGGATGCCGACATGCTTGCCGGTACCTGGCGTGAATTAATATCGATTGATTATTATCCGTACGACCGAAGGGAAACACGTGGGAAGTTCATTGACAAGGACATGAAATTTTGAGTCTATCTAACCATTTATTTTTCATTTTAATCTATCTTTATTATTTTATGAGTTATTAACTCAAAATTGGTTCGGAACTTTATAAAACCCTGTCTTAATACATTTTATTGATTTTTTTTGAAAAGTTTTCTGCCAGAGTAATATCTGTGCAGTTTTTAAATAATGTTTGGTGTTCCCTCAGGCATTTTCCAGTACATTTAAAACCGAGTAAATTTCATAAAATGAAGATTTAACGGGAAAAAAAAAAAAAAAAAAAAAAAAAAAAAAAAAAAACTTAATAGACGATTGCGTAGTCCAGTTTTGTGGTGTGTTTCTGAAATTTATATTTTGTGAAGTTTAGGAGTAGCAAAGACCACTAGTGATCCGCGGACCAAAGATTTAGAAACGCTGCATTAATGCATACAACATATTTAATGACACTAGTTTTTGCTTTTCACTTCAAGATCTGGAATCGGAGTGCGTGGACACAAACAAACTGCTGTATAAAACAATATTACAAACACTTTTTGTGCTGAAAAAAAATGATAACTAGAACTACTGTGTTATTAAAATCAAAAGTATAATATCGCAAAAAGTACTGTCTGAAAAGGTAAAGAGAATACCCAAATGTTTGAAATTTTAAATAAAATGTTTTTAGTTGTCGAAATGGTATACTAAACATTTAAATGTTTATTATTATTATAACTAACAATATTTTGTTCTATTTAATGGATAATTTACAATTCTGGTTCACTAGAAATAGAAAAAAATATTTTTTTTTACTTTGTCCCAGTATTGTCTGAGAAGGAAAACCTATCGGATTTTCCAACAGCAGTTGATAGGAAACTTTCAGGAATCAAACTAAAAAACTTCAGATTTTAAATTAAACGTCCAAAGGTTTTTTTTAACATTTTGCGTGTTACTTTATTTATTAAATATCATGTTTTACGCATTTTACCCATAAAATTCAGTTCAAAAGTAATATAGCAAAATAGTTTTAAAATGAGCATATCTTTAGAATTTTGGATACAGAGACTCGCGCGCTGGAGATAAAAATGCTTTTTCTGTACAACGTTGCCATTGCTCGCTTTGAAATCCTTGAGTTTGTTAATCAAAAGTTCTTTAAATTGTACAAAATATGAAATCGATAATAAAGCAAATTTCAAATTTGGGCTTCCAGATGCCCATATTCGCAAGAAGGTTACGTTATCAACTCTAGGCACCGTTGTTTTATCATAATGCGAGAAATATACGTACATTCATGCAGATTCTTCATTACTTAATTTCTTTAAATATAATACAGGGCGATAATATTTGGTGGCAACAATTTGAAAAGTGATTCGACGTTAATAGTTTTCAACGCAAAATGCCAAAACGAAATTAAATGGGCCACTTCTGGGCAACTTGCCCTTTTAGACTTTAAAAAAAATAAATAAAAAATTAAAATTAAAATTAAAAAAATTGAAAGAAAAAGAATTGTTGCAAATTTTGACATTTTGCAAGCACTCACAACTTCCAGACATTGCGTATAGATTAGCGAGCTCGTACGTGCAATATTTGCGGCCACAGATTGCAAACATAATGTATCTACGAGGTTTCACTCATTCTATCGTCAACAAAGTCTTAAAATTTTGACGCACTCTATCCGGAGTTGTACTTTTAGTTATCTGCTACTAAGGGCATAAGTTACTCTGATAAGGTAAATAATTCCTGCACAAAGTGCTTAACAATGCAATTCAAATTGCGTACTTCATGTCTCGAAAGCGCGACTTAGGATATATATTAGATTTATATATAGCACAAGTCTAACATAGGTATTTGGCAAAAATAGGGACTTTTCTGAAATAACATACTAATTTTTTACCTATTTCGATTCTACGACCCAATTATGCCTAAATATTAAATTGTAAATTTGGGTGCGAAATTACGAAGAAATTCAAAAATTTATGTTGGCCGCTTTTTATTCAGTTTGCACCAAAATTCGTCACTTGGCGAAATTCTTAATATGTGGCAACTATTTTCATTCCCATTTTACATAGTGCGTGAGAGGAAATCGTTCCTTCTTTCAAATAGTAAAAAAAGACCCAATCGTTCCTTCTTTCAAATAATGTTCTTTATATTATATTTTTTATTATAGATTGTTTAATTTTAAGCTTTTTTTTTTTTTTTTTTTCTTTTCGAATTTCATTTACCTTGTTTATGTTGTATTTT